TTTATTGCCTCACTTATAGAATATGATGTTGAGTGAATGTTCTCCTCGGTGAATGCTTAGTGAATAGTGAGACAGGAACACGTTAGAAAAAATGTAGGAGTTAAGAGTTTAAATCTTGGATCAAAATCCCCGATGACTTTCTAGATGTTTGAGCTCTACAATTCCTTCAGTTTTATCGAATTTTATATATCTCACAAGTTAGATTAGAATAACATCGGCTTCCCAAGGTCATTGTAATCATTAGGAATGCACAAGAATGAAAGTCTGTATATGAAAAGGAGTTACAGTAAATCATGACTATTGTTAGCAACATTTAGTTAACTCCAGTGGTTTTGAGACCCAAGAGTTCACCTGTTGGGTTAAAAGAAGTTGATGAGGAGGCATGGAAAGCGTGACTTGTTGAAGAGTGCAGGCCAAGTTTATGGTAATCCAAAATCAATTATTTGCACTGTGTTGGTAAAATAAAATGCATTGTGATTTTTATAAGGATAGAAGTCTGTCAATTTGTAACCAAATTGTTATATCAGGAGCTCATTTTATACTATAATTTGATATGTTCTAAATCAAATTATAATTGCTAATGTGAAATTCGTTTTTATTATACATTTGTATGAATGTGTGCGTATGTGTGTGTATGCTACAATACATCCTATTTCCCAAGCTTAAGAATATGCATTCTTTTCTGGATTCTGAGAGGACTTTTTGACAGAAATTACAGACCACTTAGTATACATATTTGTGGATATTATCATTAGAGTTACATAAGAATATATACATTCTGGATATATACATTTTGCTTTCAAAAGTCCTAGTTCCCATTTTGCATTAAAGTCAGAGTTCTTGCAAAAGTATATTGATCCCATATCTACCCATTGATCTGTCTCTAGTTGTTAATGTATAAAGAACTGGAAGACAATGCCAGTATTGTAAATTCTTAAACAGAAACTCAGTAAGGCCACTGTTTCATATAATATAACCTCAGAAAAGAGACAAAATGAAACTTAATATAATGAATGGTTGTGTCCATGTGTCTCAATTACTTAGCAATCAGTTATGAGCTGCATGGGCAGGAAGGTATATTCCAACACTCTAAGTAGTTAAAAGTTCCATTGTGGTTCTAATTGCCTATTTAATTCCTTGAATACCAATGTGCAATTAACATTACAAATAATCAAGGTTAAAAATATAATTAATGCAAGTGTGATTTAGTTATAATTAAACCAATTACACAGATATGTAGCATAATAAGGGACTTGCCGACCATTATGTGGATGCAAATTTATTCATCCTTTCAAGAGCAGCTATTTGAATTTCATTTTCTAATTATTTTTTACAAATGATGAAATGGAATAATAAAGGAGAAAATCAGTCTTTTGGGCAATAAAAAAGTAAATCATGTATTTTTCATTCTTTTCAAAGTTCTGTCTCTTTGGTCCATATGAACTTGTAAATAAAGAAGTCAGTGAGGATGCCAACAATGAGAAAAGTGTGGCTGAAATTAGGAAAGCAACTCCATTTGTAATAGCCCCACAAAAAATAAAATACCTAGGAATTAACTTAACTAAAGAAGTGAAGGACCTCTATGATGAAAACTTTAAAATCTTGAAAAAGGAAATCAACACAGAACTTAAAAAATGGCAAAACCTCCCATGCTCCTGGATTGGAAAGATTAACATCGTGAAAATGGCAATACTTCCCAAGGCTATCTACAAATTCAACGCAATACCTATCAAAATTCCACCCTCATTCTTCAAGGAAATAGAAGAGGCAATCCAAAAATTCATATGGAACAATAAAAGACCCCGAATAGCAAAAACGCTCCTGAATGGAAAGAACACTGCTGGAGGAATACCAATACCAAACTTCAAACTCTACTATAAAGCCATAGTAATCAAAACAGCTTGGTATTGGCATAAGAACAGACCTCAGGACCAATGGAATAGAATTGAAAACCCAGAAATGAACCCACAGACCTATAGCCATCTAATCTTCGATAAGGGAGCTAAAACAATAGAATGGAAGAAAGACAACCTCTTCAGTAAATGGTGCTGGCAAAATTGGTTAACTACATGTAGAAAACTTAAGCTAGACCCTTATATATCACCCTGCACCAGAATCAACTCCAAATGGATCAAAGACCTTGAACTCAAAGCAGACACTCTGAAAACATTACAGGATGGAATAGGAGAAACCCTAGGTCTCCTTGGCTCAGGCCGAAATTTTCTGAATAGAGACCTGGAAACACAACAAATCAAAGAAAGGTTGGACAAATGGGATTGCATAAAGTTGCAGAGCTTCTGCAGGGCAAATGACATAGCTAGCAAGATCAATAGAAAGCCCACGGATTGGGAGAAGATCTTTACTAGCCATACAACGGACAAGGGTCTCATATCTAAAATATACTTGGAACTCAAAAAATTAAACCCCCCAACAACAAATCCTCAAAGAAACAACTGCCCAATAAATAAGTGGGCGAAAGACTTAAAGAGAAACTTCTCTGAAGAAGAAAGAAGGATGGCCAATAGACACATGAAGAAATGTTCAACATCCCTAGCCATAAAAGAAATGCAAATCAAAACAACATTGAGATATCACCTCACTCCAGTGAGAACGGCAAAAATCAAGAACTCTAACAACAACAGATGCTGGAGGGGATGTGGACAGAAAGGAACCTTAATTCATTGTTGGTGGGAATGTAAACTTGTTCAACCACTTTGGAAAGCAGTATGGAGGTTCCTCAAAAGACTCCACATAGAGCTCCCCTATGACCCAGCAATCCCACTTTTGGGCATTTACCCTAATGTTTACAAACAAGACCACACTAAAGCTACCAGCACAACTATGTTTATTGCAGCATTATTTACCATAGCTAAGATATGGAACCAACCCAGATGCCCCTCAGTAGATGAATGGATCAAGAAAATGTGGTATATATACACAATGGAATTCTATGCCTCCATCAGAAAGAATGACATTGCCCCATTTGTTAGGAAATGGAAAAACTTGGAAAAAATTATATTAAGTGAAGTAAGCCAGGCCCAAAGAAACGTAGGTCCCATGGTTTCCCTTATTTGTAATATCTAGTATATGTATGAGTCAAGCGGAAAAGGTCAGATAATGTGATGTCAGGAAAATGAACCCTTAGATGTGTATTTTAATGTTTTTTTCTTTCATGCATGTGTTTCTAACACATTTATAAGATTATCTCTTTGTTGCTTTGTATGTCCCTCCCCCACAATATAACCCTTGCTTTCACTATATTTGATGTCAGTATAACTTGTGGAGGAGATGGGGAAAAACCAGTTGTTTAAGGATACAGGTGGACCTGTTGCAACAATGAGAAGTACAAGTTGTCATGTCCAAAACGAACTTTACAATGTTGGTGGGGGGGGGGCTGGGGGGAGGGAGGAAGGAGAAGGATTGGGATTAGGGGGGGAGGGGGGAGGCTGGGAAGGGATGTGAAGGATAAACAAAGGAGGAGGCTGCAATGCTTGGTAAGAAATGTACACATTATCCTGCCCATGTAACTCTAACTCCTCTGTACAGCATGTTCACAAATAAAATAAAATTAAATTAAAAAAAAAAAAAAAAAAAAAAAAAGAAAAAACATAAAAAAAAAAAAAAAAAGAAGTCAGTGAGGAGAAAATGTAGGTATGTCCACAGTCAACAAAAATACCTGACTTCTCACTTTTGTTACTATAGGAAAAAAAATCACTGACAGGACAGCAAAGAGTGAGTCAACTGCTAGTGTGATTTCCTTTCAGAATGGTAAGATTTATATATATGAACCTCAAATATTCACTTAACCGATGCGTTCTATTTCTATCCTTGAACCTCATTATGTGTGAATGTTGCTTTCATCCACTGGCATAAACCAACAAAGTGATCGGCATCAATGTATTCTCTGCACACAGACAGCAATCGTTATTGCCATGGATGTGCCTGTAGGGAATCAGGAGAGGAGGTATAGTCAAGAGGGCCATGCAGGGATAACTCTGGATATAGCTGATGTCCACAGCTGGGCTCAGGCAGCCTCAGTATGTGCCCGTGTAGAAAACAAAGGGAAACATGACTTTTCTATTCCTCTACATAGGACATGGGGCTTTTATGGTGAGCACCGCTTCTAGCCCCAAGTAGCCATAACTTCCAGAAAGATGAAGTTTGAGTGGGAAAAGGAGGGTTACTACCTGATCCCTTATAACCATACTTGAAGCTCTGCCTAGCAGACACAATAGAGGGCTTTTTATTCCCATTCACTTGGGTTATATACAAAACATCGCTGATGCATTTTGATGCTTTCAATGGTTTTGTCACAATATCTCTTGGGCAAATGGTTAACAAGAGTTGAGCACCATTCATTGCTCCTTTATAGCAATACTCACAAGACACAATGTTGGAAATGAACTTTACAACTTGGGAGGGAGGGGAGTGGGAGAGAGGGAAACTGGGAGAAAATGAGGCAGTAGGTAACAATTTTAGACAATACTCATTACCTTACCTATGTAAGGTATGTACTCATTACTTTACCTGTGTAACTGTAATCCCTCTGTAATTCCCTTACAATAAAATAAAATTGAAAATTAAAAAAAAAAAGAATAGACAACTAGCCAGGCGAAGTAGCTCACTAGCTATTTAGGAGGCTGTAATCCTAGCTCTTTAGGAGGCTGAGATCTGAGGATTGCGGTACAAAGCCAGCCCAGGCAGGAAAATCCCTGTGAGAATCATATCTGCAATTAACTACTCAAAAAATCAGAAGTGGAGCTGTGGCTCAAAATGTTAGAGAGTGCTAGCCTTGAGCAAAAGAGCTCAGTGACAGCACTCAGGCCCTGAGTTCAAGCCCTACGACTTACCAAAAAAAAAAAAAAAATAGGCAACTAGAAGGAAAATCAGGAGGAAAAATGGTGTTTCTAAATCTTTACTCCACAGACATGAGGGCATTCTAGGGACTCTCTGGGCTTATTATTTTCTTTAGTAGGAAAGTGATTTAGTTTAGATCATACCCCAGGGGTGTCCGGATGACAGCATGTCCTGAGCTCGGATGAATTTCACCATTCAACATTTTGAACATAGTACTCTTCCCAGCTCCATTCACCCCGAGGAGCCCAAAACACTAAAGGAAAAAAAAAAGTTCAATGAAACATGTTAATACACCTAAAGTGACTTTAGAAACATCACTTTAGTTGAGTCAACTTTGAGTACTGTGCTATTAAGCATACTCTGAACATTACAGTACAATGTGATTTTATGGATTCTACATATTCTATGACACTTTACACGTTAAAAGCTATTTCCAGAAACATCATGGAATTGAAATATGAAAATGTTAGCATTCATTTACAGACAAATCCATGCATGGAAAACTGAACAGAATGAGAATTGTAAAGTACCTCAAATTAAGCAGAAAATTATATGTCTTTGAAAGTCGTCACATCATTGGAGTAGATATTTTCCTGCTGCTTCCGTTTTTGAACATTTTAAATTACTTTCTAAAAATATTCCATTTCAACCTTCCATATGTAGTATATATACCCATATGAGTTTGAGCGTGTGTATTTGTGTGTGTGTGTGTGTGTGTGTGTGTGTGTGTGTGTGTGTGTGTGTGTGTGTGTGTGTGTGTGTGCAGCAGCTGTATTTCTTCCTTTTCCATTGAAGAGGTGGTAAACAAAATTTTCCAACTCTGTGCCTGGAAGAATGCTGATATGAAGGAGATTACTTCTAGTTTGGCATTCTGACAGTTTATTCTTGGTTTAATCCTGTCTTCTATTCCATGTAAAAGATGACATTTTGCTCCCATTTCTAGGCTTAGTGTCTATCTTATACCTCTGCATGTACTTTGCAAGTTTCTACCTTGGGACCCAGGTCTTTGATTCATTCCAGTCTCCTTTGAAGATGTTCATTTTCTGAAGTCTAGGAGCTGGTGTCTGCTGGTATAAACCGGCTTCCTGTTTTCTTCTCTCTCTCTCTCTCTCTCTCTCTCTCTCTCTCTCTCTCTCTCTCTCTCTCTCTCTCTCTCCTCTTTCTCTCTCTCTTTGGCTTTTCTTATAACCTGGGGAGTGGATTCTGGATCCTGGATTCTGCCTGCCAGTGACATAACCCTACTTAGTGTCTCTAGATATTACATTGGCCACCTAGTTTAATCACCATGTTTTTCAGTTTCCCTCTATCTTACCCATAATGGAAGAAATGGGTGCATCTCACTCTACTCCAGTCCTGTGCCACTGTTGTGGCAACTGAGTTGGGCATGCCAAGATACACCAGCAATAGCCTATCAAAATCATCAGACACACCTGCCTTCTTCCTTCCTATACCATCTCTGCACATAAAGCACCAAGAACAATACTATGTGTATGCTTTATAATTTTATCTTATGTGAGGCAATGCTTATGCTGCTGTAGAACACCGTGTAGGCGTATGGTCTTTTGTTTCTTAATTAAGTACTTATTTCAGTCATTTCTTTATTTTTCACAGGCTCTTACAAAGCACTTCCCATCTGGACTATCAAATAGTGATGCTCATAAATGCTTAGAGAAGAGAACTTACTGTACATTTGTTCTTTAATGTTTCAAAGGCCAAGGTGTTGAAGGAGGATCCCTAAGCCATGGCATGAATGAGAGACGGTGGAGCCTTTAGAGGATGAGGCCTACTGGAAAGTTTCAGTTCACTGAGGGTACTGAAGGGGATATTGAAATCAGACCAGACCCCCTTTCCTCTCATTTTAGCACCAGTTATGAGGTGAACAGCTCCTTCTGCCACACGTTCCTGCCAGGATATGTGTAAGATGATATTCTGAGCCACCAAAGCAATGAGGGCCAATGAGTCATGAAGGGAAACTGCCAAATCTACAATCTAAAAGGAATCTTTCCTCCTTACAATTTGATTGTCCCCAGTGTTTCCTTACAATAATGGGAAAGTTACTAACACACACCAAAAAAAACAAATTTAAATAGCATCCCAGATACATAAAATTCAAGTTTTTCTCTTCATTCTTAGTTTAAAACTACTACAGAGAAAAAAAATTAAAAAATTAATATTGATGTTAATTGACTTTGAAACAGGGGTGAGATTTTTCCTAAGACAAATACAGTTACACAACTAAAAGCAGCAGAAATAAGAGCCACAAAACCAAATATATCTTTAATATTTTGTTATTTTCTGCTAGAAATCATGATTGTGGGCATTAGGAAATCCCTTGATTGCTTCAGGTTGATTTGCTGGATTCTTTCATTTAGGATGATCATCCATGGGACAAATACTCTTAGTTCACAGGGAGAGTATGACTTTCAATCAGAAAACAATATAACATACTTTGAATTTCTCAGGAGCTTGAAACAATACACATACAAGGTGTTCTTTTTTTCTCAGTTAATTAAATGTAATCATTTCCAAGGTTGATTTCCTTTTGTGCGTTAAGTACAAATCAAGAACAATTTATACAGCTTCTGTCAGTTCTAATTAAAGATTTCTACTAGAATTAATACCATGCTCATGAGAAATGTCCCCTGCTGTGGTTATGAGTATTTAACTTACCAGAGCAGCATAGTACTGAATATTAAATGGACCTAACTGGGCACTCAAAGCAAACAAGGTTGGGTAAGAGGAAGAATTTCTTTAACTAGCTAACTATATAGATATATAATATAAACATATATAAATATATACATATTATACATTTATAAATAAATAATATTTTCAAATATGATATATCTATAGTTACATATGTATATATTTATAAGTATTAGATATATTTGTAAATATATTAATATTTAATAATTTATAAATAAACACATCATCCAGCAACACAACTCTTAAAAATCCAAAGTCAGCTGATATTTTCAAAATTATGAAACAGAAAAAAAATTGTGAAACAGGAGATGGAGGTATAACTCAGGTTATAGAATGCCAGTCTTGAGCACAAAAGCTAAGCAAGAGTGTAAGGCTCTGAGTTCAAGTCCTAGTATAGAAACAAAATCTGCTGTTGATTAAGTGGTCACTCTTTGACTATGCAAAGAGCCAAGAGACATTTTTTGTCAGTCGTGGGGTTTGAACTCTGCACCTGGGTATTGTTCCTGAGCTCTTCAGATCAAGGTAAGTGATCTACCACTTGAGACACCGTGCCACTTCCCAATAGACTTTTATTTCATCTCAGTTTCTGTAACTTTGAGAGAAGGCTGCTTTTAGATGTGAGTGCAGAAATTCTGAAAATGCTACAAGCAAATCCGTTCTTAGAGTTTCATGGATTAACAACAGAGCAAAGCTAAAGCAAAACACTTCTTTACCTCTCCTTTGGGTATTCCCACAGTAACATCTTCCACAGCAGTGGTCTTCTTGAAAAGGCTTCTGTAACTTTTATTAAGGTTGTATAATACAAGGATGTCCCCACTGGTCCTTCCTTCAAACACTCTCGTTTGCTCTTTTTCCACATCTCTATCCTTTGAAAACTTCATGGTATGTTTGAGGACAGTGTGACCCCTTTGAAAATAAAGAGAGGATCAATTGACACCTAAGCAAGTATACTGTATTAGAGAGATCTATGAGGATAGAAACAGAGCACATTGGCTCTTTCCAGGGCACCACAATCTTGACATCCTGATTAGCAGAAAGAGTCAACCTTCATTCCTTAATTTAAGGAATTTAACGTTAATAAAAGACATTGAAGTAGATCTATCCAAAAATGATGTTTTTGATTCTATGAAGAACAAAGTTGTTTGGGACCTCATGCTAGATGTAAGAAAAAAATCAGGCTGGGAAAATGGCTCAGTGGTAGAGTGCTTGCCTTGCATGCATGAGACCCTGGGTTCGATTCCTCAGCACCATGTAAGCAGCAAAAGCCAGAAGTGGCACTGTGGCTCAAGTGGTATAGTGCTAGCCTTGAGCTGAAGAGCAGAGGAACAGCCCCTAGGCCCAGAGTTCAAGCCCACGACTGACAAGAAAAAGAAAAAGGAAAACAATCATCCCATCATAATAAATTATCAATTTTAAAGATATTTTAAATGGTTTATTTGGTAAAAGAGCATATACAAAAAACACCCAAATATGATAAGCTTATGGTATAAGTTGAAAAGAATTCAGTAATCAGTCAGCATTTTGTACAAGTCTTCTATACGGTAGTAAGATAGCATCTACCACTCTAAATCTGAGCTACACATTCTTCATTATGACTTTTAATCTGGTGTATTGTTATTTCTTTTGTTATTAGTACTAGGGCTTCAACACAGCCTGGGTACAATCCCTCAGTTTTCACTCTAGGGAAGCCTTCTGCCATTTCTGTCTTTTTGCTAGTTAATTTGACATTAAGAGAATCATGGAATTTCCTACCTGGGCTGGCTTCAAACTGTAATACTTATAGCTCAGCCTCCTGAATAGGTAAGATTACAGGTAAGAAAAGCCAACACCTGGCTAATCTGGTATATTTTAACTTTTACGTTAATTTCATTTCCCCTGTAACCCACAGATTAAATAACTACTCCTGAGTAAGTGTTATACCAATATCCACTACCTTGTTTTCATATGCAATATTGTGAAAAAATCACATTATCAGGTAGGGAGGTGGGTAAAGGAGCTTAATTGTGCAATCTTTTGCAATTTTTAAATTATGTCAAAATAAATAGGCATTAAAATCCAAAGACATAGCATCACCCTCAGCCATTCTAGCTCCACTAAATGTATTAGTTTTCTACATCTGAAGTCACCATTTGGCTTTTTTAAAAGTATATTACTTCAGAAACATTATGAATAAGATAACTAGATGTGCAAAAGTATATGTCACCATTGTGACATATGTAATATGTTGTTCATGTCACTTGAAAGTATGAGAAAGACTCTGATGAGGGGGTACCAAAGGTATTACCAACATTCAATTCATCCATCTAAGAAGGGTTACAGGATTGTCATCAATTCGTACAAATCCATCACGTTTTGTATTTTTCTGCTTCACAGTATTTGTTTTCTCAGACGACCCTCCACCCTATGCCAGTTTTTCCAATGTCCTTTTTCATTCTAACAGATCATGTCTTTGTGTCCTCCTCTCCTCCATCTCTACAGTACCCCACACCCATGATCCTTTTCTCCATGTAAATTAACTGAGATGGTCCTGATTCTCAGCCAGAGCTGCTCATCTCAGGGCTCCAGTGAGGAACTCAGCTATACATATCTGTTCAAATCTCTTTGATTCATTCTGGTGGGTGGAGAATGTGTGATTGAGATTACTTCTTGTGGAGGTCCTTCCCAACAATCCACACTCCTAGTACCTCCAACTCTGCTCGGCCATGCGCCCCTCAGCCATCCTCCCACTGGCAATCACAACAAATGGCACCTATCCTGCAGAAGAAGGATCCAGATGGGCCCTGGAGATAGCAGACGTCCCCAAGTATCAGCATACCTAATAATCTGGGCCATCTTCCTGGCTGTTGTGCCTCAATCAGCACAAGATACTGAGGGCATCTCTTCTCCAGAAATGAGAGGACAGAACAGGTGCAACTTCCCCAAACCACCCAACCTGGGGAGCAATATGGCTGGGATGCTAATAGAAACCTGGATTCTTTGCCAACAACTAAAAACCAACACCAGACTTCAGGTGGGTGCCGGCACATGAGAAGGGCAGTTGTGAAGTGGGCCCCACAATACTCTCCCTTCTAGTGGTGGTGACTTCCAAGCTGCTTGGATGGGGAAGGCAGTCTCTGTCTGAACCCTGTGCATGAAGCTGGGTTTTCCTATTCTCTTCCAAGATTCAACCGAGAATACTATAATTTTCCTGCAGGAAGGGGTTTATCATCAGGTAAAGATCATTAGGATATAGATACTACAGATATGTCCTCATTAAGAAAGAGGTGGTTATGGGAAGCTGAGAAGTCCAGCTGATAAGGCAACTAGGGAGAGAGGTGTGCTGGTAGCAAAGTGAGGCAGGCAGAGAAGATGGAGGCACAGTTCTCCCCGTGGTGTGGAAGGAAGGGGCAGGGAGAGCTGTACTGAATACAGCTTGTCAGACTTAGAGGGCACTGCTGTGAAACTTGGACTTAACCATTTTGAAGAGGAAGCAATACTAGGGTTTCAATTCAGGGCCTCACCTCTTATGAGCTATTACTTGAGATAGTCCATCAGCTGGTTCTTTGCTTCTTGAGTCTGGCTTGGAACCACAATCCCCCAAATCTCAGCCTTGTAAGTAGCAAGAATTATAGGCATAGGGCACTCATGTCCAGATGCACTTTAATATACATATAATTATGGATATGCATATTTGTATATAATACATAATAATTATATATAATAACAACTATACATAGCTGTTAGTTATCATAAAGGGGATTACAGAGGGGTAACATTACACAAGTCAGGTAATGAGGACTTTTCTTTTTGAACGGTGTCACTCCTTCCCTCATTCTCTCCCAGTTTTTCCCTCCCACCTCCACCCACCAATTGCATAGCTCAATTTCAACAAAGTGTCAGGTGTATCATTGCTGCATTTATTCACTCTTTTTTTCCCACCCTTTCTATGCCCCAGACAAAAGGAAAAGAAAACACAACCAGCAACAAAAAACCCTCTTGTTTCTATTTCCATCATTTTGTATGATCAAATGCACATAAACAGTGATTAGTAATCTCTCTCGAGCTGGACTTGAATACAAAATAGACTGGGTTCCATGATCACTGTGATGGTAATCTTACAAGATCACCCACCGACTGGTGTCGAAGCTAAATTATGTTTCTGTGTTTTACATTGACATGCAGCAAAAATGACTACTGAAGATATCAAAGACATTACTCCAAATCCAGTTCAACTAATATGCTCTATAAAGTCAAGGTAATACAGCAAGAATTCTTATTGAAGTCTTTTGGTACTGTAGGACGTAACCTGAAACGTGCCAGAGGGGATTCTACATTACAGGTTTTAAAGCAGATTGAACCAATAATGGATATCACAGAATTAATTATGTTCGAAAGGCACTGAGGACACTTGCCTGAATTTGGTAAGCTATTGGTTATCTACAGATTCCCAGAATAATTATGGTCAAATGCAAAAGACTTTTGGGATTTGCATTCAAAATGGATTTCTATGTTTGCAGCTTTAAAAAGTTATGAAAGGAAAGGTTGTCATGAAAAATGGAAAAGGAAAAATCTGCAAAGGAATCATTGTAAAAGATTAATAACATGGCATTACATCTTTAATAGGCTCTCCAGCAAGAGGGTCTTAAAATTTTTCTCCCCATAGAATCCTTCTCTTTGGGCTAGGAAGGTGGCTCAGTGGTAGAGCGCTTGCCTTGCATGCCTGAGGCCCTGGGTTCCATTCCTCAGCACCACATAAGCAAAAAGAAAAAAGCTGGAAGTGGTGCTGTGGCTCAAGTGGTAGAGCGCTAGCCTTGAGCTGAAGAGTTGAGGGACAGCGCCCAGGCCCAGAGTTCAGGCCCCATGACTGGATCCAAAAAAACGAATCCTTCTCTTTGCTGGAGGTTTGGCACAACTGGAGACTCTTGGCAAGCAAGAGATCAAGTCAAACCAGTACCACACACACACACACACACACACACACACACACACACAATTAGGTAGAAAAAATCCTTCCCTTTACCAAAGCTTACAGGCAAATCAGTAGATTTGCGGTGGACAGACATCATTGTGGACCCTACACCAAATAGAATGTATTTCCTCTTAGGTTTTATAAATGAATTCTGACAATATTTTAGACATCTGTGAAAAGCTCTCTTAAATCCTATTCATAGAAGGTGTGTGTATGTGATGTACACATACATGTACACATATCTACACATTCACACATACCTCTCACAGCATAAAATTGCCTCCTCACTCAACCAAGGTAAGAACCCAGCATACAAAGGAATAGGATCTGGAAAAGCCTTGATGCATTCCGTACTGAATTTTCATACCTTCCTGCCATCCGGAGCTAGTCATAAGAAAACAAATTACTTTATAGTATCAACCCAAATTCACCTGAGGTGCTACAAAGCAAGAGGGGAAACTGTGCAATTTCAAAGTGGAAAATACACTGATACAACTAAACAACTGCAAAGATTATCTCATAGGCTGCCACCTTATCTTTTTGAAATTCTTCCTAGGGAATTTGGTGACTCACACTAATCAAAATAAAAAAGGAAATGTAAAATCCTCACTTAGTAGTACCATGCACAATTCTGGTCAGACCCATTGCTTATCATGCAACCTCCAGGATGGATTATTTTTTTCTCCTTTTTATTCAAGAGTGACTGGCCTTCTGGATGAGCCCTGTGGAACATACCTTGGCCGCCACAGCAGGTCCCAATGCAGCAGAAGCCTCAGGATGAGAAGAAGTGTTCCCTGCAAGGCCAGTACTACATAGATCCAGCCCAGGAAGTTCATCTCAAAGGGACTCACATAGGAATCGATGCCAAAATTGTGGGTCAGGTCATATTTGATCTGATTGTAGCAGAGTTCTATCAGTCCTTGTCCCAGGCAAAATTGAGGGAAAATAGTGAATACCCACTTGAGCACATTGTAGATGTTCTGTAAATTCTGCATAAAGAAAGAAATTTAAATTAAAAGCTAGTCCCCAATGGTTATGACATCTGTGAGCAACTCTTTTTTTCTCCTTGGTTACATGCATACTCTAGGTCTTTCCTAATCCAATTCTCAATGACCCCAATGAGCTCAATAGACAGCCATCAGACCAAAGAGGACTGTTCTTGAGATCTAATATCTAATTATATTTAGCTTACAGTGGAGCTCTTTTCCTTTTTTTCCCTTTGGAATGGAATTGTGTATCTTGTCCTGCTTTTGTATTTTAGTAGTATGAGGAACTATGGTTGTGGGTATTTAAGTAACACACAATTCAGGCTGGGTATAGTAGCATGTGCCTCAACCAAATTCCCAGATATCCTGGAGGCAGAGATTGGAAGAATCATGGTTTGAGGCCATATAAACACCAAACCCATTTCCACCAACAAGCTGATATGTCAGGAATGCTATAATCCCAGATAAATGGGAAGCTATGTAGGAAAAGGTTTGTGGTCCAAGCTGCCACATAAAGAAAGAAGAAAAGGGAGAGAAAGAGAGACAGAGGCAGAGATATACAGAAAGAGAAAAAAAGAAGGAAGGAGAGAGAAAGACAGAGAAAGGGGGAGGAGAGAGGGAGAGAGGGAGGGGAAGGGAAGGGAAGGAAGGAAGGAAAGAAGGAAGGAAGGAAGGAAGGAAGGAAGGAAGGAAGGAAGGAAGGAAGGAAGGAAGGAAGGAAGGAAGGAAGGAAGGAAGGAAGGAAGGAAGGGTTACCGGTTCATTGTGAGTCTAGAATAAATGCCAAATATATGTAGATATCATTATGAAATGAAGAATACATATGAAAAAGGAAATATAAAGGATATAATAATAACATGAAATAAAAACATATACAAAGACACAGTGTTTAAATATATCTGAAATTCCAATATCTGCCATATGTTTTTACTATCTTTGCTACCTGATGAATATTAATTTTTTCCATCTGAAAATTATTACAATGTTAATCAATTGTTCACTATGTGCTTTTGGTAAGTTATTATATTCTTCAGCTTCATTGTATTTTTGTCACATTTCATAGTTGTGATAAATATGCAAACTATTAAATATGAACTAAGTTGCTAATGAAAAATAGTCTCAAGAAATTGCTTCATGAGGACAAGCCACACTGGAAGAGCAAGGACTTAATTCCAATCTTCTTGTTTCAAAGCCAAGGTGATTCCACTAAGAAATACAGCATTTGGGCGATGTTGTTCTCCTGAACTGAACTATAAAGCAATTAACCCAGAAAGGCCACATTCATAGAGTTACCAAAGCAAACCCTGAAAATACCATGATGATTTAGATGTTTACTTTATAGTCTTTCCTTTTCTTTAAATTATACAACTGATAAGAATATGAATAATCATATTTTCAGGTAGAGAAATCACCTTAATTGGCACATATAACACACTAGTATATGTATTTTATCCTAAGTATTAGTTATTAAATGTACAAAACCATTCATTCTAATTCTTACTTGATAATGCATAGATTTTTCCATTACAATGTGAATTTAAACTTCACTAGATTAAGTGTATTTTTGTTTGGATTACAACAGAAAATTTAAATAATAGAATCTACTTTCATCTACTTTCAATATGTGGTTTGTTGTCTTTTATAAAGAGATGGAAGAAGGTGCTAAAGCTTCATTCAGTCTTCCCTTAGCTTTTCCTTAACTTTCACTAGTTATTCATTTCAATTAGAAGGGTTTGTTAATTCCACTTTATATAAAATATATTCCTATATCAATTAGTGGACCACATAAGAGGGTTTTCTATTTTTACTGAAGATATAGCAACAGCAGAATCTTGTACCTTTTAGCTAAGGAACTGATAATTAATGAAATTATCTACTAATGGTGATGACTGTATCTCACATTAAGGAATTCATGATGGTCTCTGTATAAGCATGAACACAGACACTTGAGATATGGGAAAACAAAGGTAATTAGAAGTCTGCACCTACGAAGGGCATATAGCCATACAAGTTCAAGAATAAAAAGAAAAAGAAACTGTGGTTTGTTATTGTTTTTTCTTACTTTCTTTTGTGCCTGAACTGAGGCTTGAACTGAGGGCTTCCTGCACTTATTCATTTTTTTCACTCATAGCTGGCACTCTATCGTGCAGAAAATATTGAAATCAGCTATCTCCATTTCTGGTTAATTGGAGATTTAAAAAAAAATGCCAGCACTGATTTCAAACTGTGATTCTCAGATCTAAGCCACCTGAATAGCTGGAATTATAGGCATGAACTACTGCTGTACAGCTTAATAATAGTGATTTGTGACTCCATTGACATCCTTCTAGATGCAACAAAGTGTCACCAAGGGGAGAAAGATGATCCAGACCTGTGTTAGGACCCAAAATTCATTATCTTATTAAGTTTGTAACAATGAAGTCAATCACATTAACACTGCAGTTTGTATGTACAATGGGTAATACTGCTTACACAAGGTTTTAATTCTGACCTGAGAATCCAATTGCCTTCCTAAGCTCTTTCATTAATTGTATAAGAACATGTTTCTCCATATAATTTACAAGTAAATATCAAAGGAGGAAAGGAAAAGAAAGACCTAAGAAAATGCAATAAGATGTCATTTTTATATATTGCCAATTGGCTTCTGAAATAAACAAAAAGCAAACATTGCTTGTTGATTTTTCTTTTTTTCAGATGAGCAATGCTATTTATTATATACTTAAAGTATAAAAATATAATAAATAAATAACATATAGTAATATATTTATATATTAAATAAATGCCTTTTTCACACAATTCTGTTACATTGTCATGAATAGAAAGGTTCCTAGCTAGTGGGTCTAGCTGATTCTTCTTCCTTTTCTTTTTAGAGCCAAATCTTCTGGGACCTTGTCCTCTAAAGTGGATCCTTTTTCTGACTCCCCTCTCATTGGGATTCTTTACATGGATTGAATTTCTTTTTTACCATAGTTCACAACAATCTTGTTTTAAGGAAGTTATAGGCTACTTCTGCTGATTTCAATATTCTCTGCATGTAAATTCAATAAACTGTTCCATAAGCTCTCTATTTAAAGGCCCAGCATAGTCATACAGATTACTGTCAAACTTGACCTATAAAATCACTGGCATAGTTTCTTCCTTTCATTAAATATATAATAGATATTTCCATATTTCATTACATTACACGAGACATAACAATACAAAATACTGACCATCGTCTGAGAGTGTACTAAGTCTTCTAAACCTAGCCACAATTAGTGAACCTGACCTAACTGGATGGCTCTCAGTCCCTGTATCATGGTAGATGAAACCAGAAATACATCTTGCAGCTAGGAGCTGTGTCCCTTTGCTGGGCGAGTTTCTCAGACCAGCTTTGTGCATAGAAAGTTCACAAGAGAACTGCCAAGGAAATGGAGTACAAGTGAACAACAGGGTAATCAGAGGTGATTAAAAAAACAAAGCAGGAATTTGGAAGGACTGAAATAGACAGGAGAATGCAGAGTCAGCAGCTTTTTCCTGCTGCTATACAAGGGCATGGCAGAGGGTCGAGGAGTTGAGGGATGACTTAAAGCAGAAGCCAAGAATTGGGACTTCTCAGTTGGGAGGAGAGGGGTGCAAGGAGAATAGCAGGAAGCAAACAGGACATACCTCCAGACAGACTTCAGCTTGACATCGGTGCTTATGCAAGGAGTAGTCTGTCGATGGGAGTGGCCTGTTACAGACAGAAAAATGCTTCCTGGCCAGGCAACACAAGCTTGGAGAAATTCTCTGCTTAAACTCTTGGAAAGAAGTTAAACTGAATTCCTGACTTCTTTTCAAAGGCCTCAGGCAAAAGGGTAAAACACCTCAAATCATTCTCTAGTTGTGTTATAGCTCAAGAGCATGTGAGTATTTCTGGTCCATTCTACATTGAAGACTCCAACCCAGTATAGAGTGATATATGGAGAGGGCATATTTTACGACATTCATGATTCCAGTACTAATCAGTAGTTCCTTTATTTTTGTCAGTTTGTCACAAAGCCTGGACTTGGCTTTTGGAAAATCTTGGAAGTTTTTTTTCATTTTATTGTTGTTGTTGTTGGTTGCAAGGCTTGAACTCAGGGCTTAGGTACTGTCCCTAAGCTCTTTTGCTCAAGGCTTGCACTCTACCACTTTGAACCATAGCTCCCCTGAAACTTTGTGTGTTTGTTTTGGTCAGTCATGGGGCTTGAACTCTGGGCCTGGGCGCTGTCCCTCAGCTATTCAGCTCAAGGCTAGTGCTCTATCCCTTGAGCCACAGTGCCACTTTTGGTTTTCCTGGTGGTTTATTAGAGATAAGAGTCTCATAGACTTTCCTGCCCAGGCTGTCTCAGCCTCCTGAGTAGCTGGGATTATTGGCGTTAGCCACTGTCATCCAGCTCCCTGGAAGTTTTTTATTAATTAGAATCAACTTTCTTCTCATTTTAAGAATGGATACTTTTCTATATCACCAGTGAATTCCAGTAGGCAAGACATAAAATTAGCGTGCATCTAGATATGGCTCATATGTATTGAACCTTTAGTCTCCAGTAGGTGGCGATATTTTAGGAAGTTCTGGAAACTTTGGGAGGTGGGATCTAAATAGAATTGGTTCCTTGTGGGATGTGTCTCCTTGTGGGTTGTATCTGGTCCACAGTTTCTTCTTAACTCTCCTTCTTAACGCTTCCTGTCTACCATAAGTCAGCAGCCTCCTCTCCACATATCCCCACCATCATGATGTTTGGCCTTACCCTGGGCCCTAAATCCACAAAAATAAAAATTATGGGATGAAATCTCTGAAACTAAAAGCCAAAGCAAATCTTTCTTCCTTTGTTAACGTCAAGTATCTTGTCCTAGAGCTGAGAAGCTACCTATACCCCGATCTGCCACAGAAATGGGAAGTTAATCTCTACACAACCCCATTCTCCTCTTCTAAAAGGAAATACTGTCACTGACTGACCTGAGCTTTGGAGATGATGGCCAGGAGCCTGGGCATGGTGGTCATCACCATGGTGCACAGACCAAAGATGAAATTCAAGGAGATGTAGGAGATAAAAGCCACATCTGGACTTGAAAAGATTCTGGACATCAGATACATCCATGGAAGCATGGCATATCTGAAAAGGAAAATAGAAAATTTTCATATTTATCTTCTTATATTGATCCATATAACAACTGAATTATAGATGTGATTTTATTGGCCTGTGATTTTGTTGTTGTTGTTGTTCTTTACTTAGTGAAAGAAGATCCTATGGTCTTCCACAGACAAAGCACTCTGCTGGTGCCTCTCAGGGCTATTGGGCTAAGCACTGGGAGAAGTTGTACGTGGAGCCTCCTCCAGCTCCACAATCTGAAGAGAGCACCTGACTTCTCCACCATCTCACCTAAAAGGATGCTACTTTACTAATAATCCACCCTAGTCATGCAGGAATAATGTCTATTTGTTACCATAAGAATTAAAAACCACAAGAATACAAAAGGCTATAACACTGTCTTAAAAATAATTAAAAGTTTAATTTCTAGAATCTAATGTGTGTTGAGCTGTATGCTGACACTTCTGTGGTGTCTCCCCCTCCTCCTCCTCCTCCTCCTCCTCCTCCTCCTCCTCCTCCTCCTCCTCCTCCTCCTCCTCCTCCTCCTCCTCCTCCTCCTCCTCCTCCTCCTCCTCCTCCTCCTCCTCCTCCTCCTCCTCCTCCTCCTCCTCCTCCTCCTCCTCCCCCTCCCCCTCCTCCTCCTCCTCCTGCTGTTCCTTTCTCCGCCTTCTCCTCCTCCGCCTCTTCTCCAGAAGATAGCACCATAATCTTCCTGTCTCTCAAGTAGAGCAGCTGGCATGAATGAACTTGAGACTATGATCTCACACCCACAGCTGATCTATAGGTGAAGCTGATCAGGGTCAGCATGCCCCCAAAGGTAGGTAGTAAGGGAGCATTGCCAAATATCAAAAGCTAAGACACTGCTCCACATCTCTAAAATAAAACTTTCCACTTTCCTATTTCTCCACAACCGTAGTAACCATTCAGGCTACTTTCTGAAACTGACAGAAAAAAAAGAGATCATCTTAATGCATTCCAATAAAGGAAACTGACACTTTAAATGATAGTTTCGAAATAAGCAGAGTAATCACCGCCTTTCCCAGGAGACATCTCTCCCTGGAGCCCCTGCATGTTTTCTACTCACTCAAGGTACAACTGTCACTGTTCCTTAAAATGACGGATGGTTTAACCTGAAATACTTCAGTGCTTCTAAGTGCCTGAGGTTTTCCAAATATGCTAATTAGTTCTGAAAATTAGGAGACTTTGAAATGGGAAAAGAGACGCTAGGGCCTCAAGACAACCATTATTTTAGTATGCTTCCTTTGTGTTATGCAATCTGTGATACTAGAATGTATCCCTGAGTTAAAAGACAAATTCTCTTCTCTGGGGAAAATATTTGGGATATTATACATAAAATCAAACAGTCTCTCAGAGACTTACTTAACAGCAATCTTCCCCCTAATTTAAGCATGAAAAACATATTATGGAAGACATATTGGAGATGAGTGCTTCAAAGCAATTATTCTAGAGGAATGAAGGGGAAAATGAGGGGAAGAATATAGTCAAGAATTCACTGGATATACCACAAAATTAAGAAAAGTAAGGGAAGGCGTGGGTTAAAGGGAGGCGAGAATGTTCAAAGGGGTAACACTGAGGAACATGCATTATATTCAAAAACTGCTTCATTAAATGGCACCTTCTTTGTACAACTACCTAAAGATAATAAAAAAGATATTTAAATAAATAAAATGACTACTCTAAAGAAAATTAAATTGGACAAAAGTAATAACTACAAAAATGGTAAGTCATAACTTCGTGATGCTTTAAATTGCCATTACTTCTGTCTGAATCAAACCTCAACTCTACCCATATACATTACTTTCTTATTCAGTTCCCTCTGGAACCAAACTCTAGGTGTTACCCTCTGTCATGGAGTTGCTCTGAGAATCAAATGAAATCATAGCATTGAAGGTATTTCTGGGCTGGAGGTTTGGCTCAAGTGGTAGAGCACCTGCCTAGCAAGCATTCGTTCCTGAGTTCAAACACCAGTATTACCAAGAAACTGTATTTCTGCATCTGAAATTTAAGCTATAGTAGAAGCTCATGAGGCAAATCTGGGGCTAGATTTAATTGGTATAAAATTTATTCTGGGAATGACTTCTGGAAAGGGTGACATTAAGATGAATTTTATTCATAAATTGGCATGTTGAGGTTTCAATTGATACTTACAACAATAACAACAACAATAATAATTCTATATTGTGGAATAATACATGACAAATGTCTTCTCTTTTCCAAAAGATGGCCTTTTGTAGCCAAACATAGCCATCTTGGTTTACTTAAGCCTATACTACAAAATATTGAGTGTTTCTTTTTTTTCCCTTATGTGACACAAATCCAACCAGCTCTGTGGGTTAAAGTTGGCAATGTGGGTGCCAGGAAGTTTGGGGACTGGTACCTCAGGGAGTATCTGATGTGGCATATCACAAAGCACAGCCAGATTATAAACAACTTTGATGAGCCCCTCTGTCCAACAACACAGTCTCACCATGCCTACCTCTCTGTCAGACCTACATCCCTCTATTTGTACTTGAGGGACTAATTACCACTTTGCCCCTAGTCTCTGCACCACTGGAGATTGCTATGAATCTGTACTTTGTTACACTTTACATAAGGTTTCTATACTGGGGATGTCCTTTCAATATTTGGCAGGCAGATCAAAGCATTGTTCAAGAAAAAAAGAATCAGAGATAAAGAGACAATCTTAAATGATGCCCTTGAGGAATTCTTGTCACTACATTAAGGAACCCCTTTTCAACTTCCTTTTCCTGGCTACGATACCATGTTTTGTATTTAACTACATTTTCATTAACTAACTTTCAAATACTTGATTGCAATGAACATATAGTTTCAGTTCCCCTCCTGTCTTCTTCATTTTTGAGGGAAAAAATTGATTTGTAGACTCTAATGTACTTTTTTTTCTCTCCACTCGTTTATAAAGGTATATCACCATGCTGTAGTGGCTCACATCTGTAAAATGAGTTATTCAAGATTACAGTACAAAGCCAACATGAGCAGGTCAGTTGGTGAGACTTCATCTCCAACTAAACAACAAAAACCTGGGCTGGAGGCATGGCTTAAATGGTATAGCTCCAGTTGTGAGCAAGAAAGCCAACAAAAGCATGGGACTCTCAGATCCTGATTCAAGCCACAGTATCCACACACACACACACACACACACACACACACACAAAGACACACTGTAATGTTTTTCTAGAGATTGGTATACTATTTTCAAGTATTCCATAATTTATGGGAGGACATATTATTCTCCTCTTCAAAACTGGTCCCTTGCCTACATTGTGTGAATTTCTTAAAATGCCTCCTAAAATTCCAAACAGGCTGCTGCGACCTCATTTTCTCAATCATATAGCAAAAATATATATCAAATACGTTTTTAGGTTTTGAATTTTTAATATAAGCTAAATTGCCTTTTCTCTCAGATTTTTTGGTATTATTTTCCTCCATCTTTCTTTTAAGTTTCATTCTGTAAGCCAGGCTGAGCCTAGACTAAACTTTCAATCTTCCTGCCTGAATCACCACATCCAGGCTATAGCTTCTTATTATAATGTTGATTTTTTTTGCCTCACTGGTATAGTTTAGCTGTCCAAAACTCCCACACTAGGGAAAAAATATATTATTACCAGACATGTGTGTGTGTGTGTTATTTCCTCTGAGAACCTGTTCACTGATCCCATCGCTTCATTTCCAGATTTCAATTCAATAAATGGCTTGTTTCATACTCGAGTATGTTCTTAGATTTCACTTCACTCAGAGATTCAGCCTTCCTGAGATCTTTCTTGGGTTACAGGTGCCTAAAGTGACCCAATTCTGATGCTTTCACCCGGAGAAGGCCATGGTACAGAGGAAATACAGCTGCCTGGACTTGGCTTCACTTACAGTGAAAGAGAGGTCATTGGGGCTACAGGTCCAATGGCTCTACTTCAAAGATGAAATGATGGCCATTTAAACCTTAATTAGTCCATGACCCTAGCTGTCATACTACAACCTTCTTTTGGAGCATTTTTGTTGGTGTTAGCACTGATTCAAATGCAGTGTGTGTTATTTTGTTTCTGAGAATCCCCTTGACAAAGAATTTTTATCAGAAAGTGTGTGGGTCTTGTTGGCCAAGGGTTGTACACTAACAGATCTAGATCTCCAGATGCTCTAGAAATTCTTTTAAAAAGTGTTTTGTGTACAAAAGGATGATTCTGAACTTGATGCAAGTTCTTAAAGGGATTTACAATGAGCTCAGGATTAAGAAAATTTTCTAATAACGTGTTTTAAGAGTTTCTAACCATTTGACTTTATCTAAATCGTATCTTAATTGTTGAAGTCTGCTCCTATAAATTCAAACATAATTTTATGGCAAAGTCTATTTTACTCACACTGTGATAAGACTTAACAGCACTATCGACTCACATGGGATCAATAAACTGAAATCAGGCAACTCCAACCAGGTACACATACATATAGATCTCTACATGTGGGCTCACAAATTTCATATTGACTATAATAAACATGTTTGCTAAATGCATGTTATAGACATGACCTCATAATATACTCTAAATAGGAAAATAATTTTGAGAATATCAATATTTAGCTAAAATTGCTATAGTTAGACTTGTTACATAATATTTGCATAAAAATCTGATTTAACTTCCATAGAAATAAAATGGAGTGGTAGAGGGATTAAACTGAGATTTCGAGAAGAAAATTAATATCACCACAGTCAGAGAGTTAGTAAGAGTCTCAATATTCCTGAAAAAGGAATTTTTTTCTTTTTCCATGTCTCCTTTCTACATCTTTTACCCACCCATACATTCATCCACCTGTTCATCCACTCATCAGCCATTCATCCATCAGGTCACTCATCTTTTATTCACCTGATAATGATGTATATTTCTTTAAGTAAAATTCTATCTTGTAATAAGATATCTTTCATATTCCCGGATCACTGATATTTTAACAAAGTGTATACTCAACACTTTGTTTACAATATTTAGTTGAAATGAAAGCTGAATGTGTTCATCTTAAAATTTATTGAATTTCAATAATTTAGTGCATCCATTATTTTCCCCAGAAAGTCTTTCTTATGTATTTAGTCTATATGCAATCATATATACCTACTCTCCACAGCCCATAGATTTTTTGATATCTGAGAAGAATAATTTAGGGACTTCTGGGAATAATCCTAATTAGTGTGTTGAAATCAGAAATTTGTATGCTGACATTCTAGTTCTGCTGGTTTTCCTCTGCAGAGAAAAAGAAAAGAAATGTATGGAATTCAGATAAAATGCTTCCAAACTACTAATACTGTAAGAGAGGAAAAATTATGCCAGACAGAATTTCAAGAGGGAATCTCCGCAAATGTAATTTCAGAGCTAAGTGGATTATATATTTGAGCCCATGATTTATGTCAGAGTGAGAAAAACTGAGAGTCCATTTTGCCTTGCACAATCTTGTCAGGGAGCCTGAGGGCCTTTCTAAGACAGGGCCAATACCATCTTCATTATAACCATGTCCACTGTTCCTTCTTACACAGGGCATTCATCATCTCCCTCAAGCTTGTTTGTTCAATGTCTCTTGAAGAAGGAACATAATTGCTTGAGAAGAGAGAAAATCATGAAGCTGACAGCAGGTTCAAAGCCATCCTAAGGGTTTTTCACTTGCAGAAAACAAACCATAATTCTGCAGCAGTGTTTCTCATCACATACCCGAAAAGTGCCAGCAGGAGGGCCGTGGCCACCAAGTTCTCACGGAAAGTAAAAGCTGTTAACTGGAAGGCAGCAATAATGGCAACACACAGGGAGACAGAAACCAAGTAAAAGAGCTGAGAAAATAAAAAAGAACATGCTGCATCAGAAGAGTATAATATATTTATCTACTTACCTCAGAGTCCACATTCAATTCCTATGTAAGCATAGCTCCTACTTTTCACATTAGAATTTGTTTTGGAGTAGAATTCATCCTGGATAGTCACTCTTCTGGACTGACTTGTGTTCTCCCAAAATTCTAAGGCTGAACACCAATAACTTCAGAAATAGGACTTTATTTGGGCATAGGAGCTTTAAAGAAGTAATTAAGTTCAACTGAGACCTTCAGGGTAGAGTCTAACCATGCATGAGTGTGCTCTTACAAAAAGAGGAAATCAAGGGACAGCATCTAGGGCCTTTCCTGGGGCTCTCATGTATCCTTCTCTCCCTTGCTTTAGTGCCTCTGCCTACAGAGCCCTTTCTCAGTGCCATCCATGTGGCTCATCTCCTCTCCCTTACAGATCTCAGCTAAAACTCCAATTCCTTGTTTGATTCCCCAATTTAATGTTACCCTCCACCTCACTGTCATCTTTAATTCTTTCAATAGCCACGAGTGAACTGTATGTGTCCCATTCATTCATTCTTTATTTATTTATTTATGCTTCTTCCTATAAGACTATACTATTTATTAGGGGAGAGATCTTCTGACTTATTCAGAGCTTTCAGACCAAGATTTCTGCCCTTTGAACGCTGACATAGAACAGCAGCCTGCCTGACTTTTAAAGCAATAAAAATTTGTGTTCACAGTCCTGGATATTGAGGGGCATGACACCAGCATAGCTGGTATATCAGCGAGCCTACTTTCTTGCTCCTAGATGAGGCATTCTGTATGTTTACCACTGATGAAAGGAGCTAATGTGCTCTCTGGGGTTCCTTTTATAAAGGCATTAATCCACTCACGAGGTCTCCACCTTCATGCCCTCATCACTTCCCAGAGACCCCCACTTGCCAATACCACTATGAGGGAATTAGGTTTGAACATGGAGTTCTCATGGAATACAAACATTTGGTCTTTGACAACCTTGGGCAAACTTTGAACAATAACAGATTCTCAAAAATATTCATTTGATGGGTCATTTAATAAAAAAAGGCAGGGAACTATTGAATAAAGGTAGAAAAGTCAACCAATAATCATCCATGCTCTTAAACTCCAGGTTGAAGGGCCACATTTAGTGAAAGAAATAAAGAGATGACAAGTGAAGTATGCAGTAAACAGGGAAATCACACAGTTTTGAAACCTTGGCATGCTTTATGGTGTCCTGGACATGATGATCTGTGTGTGCTGTTACTGTTTCTTGGTGCCTCTCTCCTTTGGCCTGGGGCTGGTATGGCCATTAGATATCACTAAATCTCATATGCTGGAGAGAAATAGGCTTAGGGCTTACAGCCCTGGGTGAAGAACTGGATGGAGAACTGAACAGGAAGACCCGGCTGGCCCTGAATTCTACAAGTCTAATCTCAGATGGGATTCTTGCATCCCTTTGTAAACACAAGGGGCTTGATGGTCAGCATTGTTCAGTCTTGCCTGAGAGTCCTAAGTTGCCTTGGATACTGATCAACCAGACCTCAGAGTCCCATCTAGATCTACTGAACACAATCTTGAAAGCACATCTTTGGGACTCTTCACTGCTGCAAACATCCCAGGCAGTTATTGTCACTGCATAGTTTTACAAAACCTTGACTTAACTCAGGGAATTCCTGTAATGATGAGGTAACTTAGGTACAGACTACACAAACTGTACTCTAAAAATATATAAACATTGCATGATCAAAAGGAAATCAATCAACTGAACTCTATGCTATCTCAAAAGAATAAACATTAATGAATAGCAACAGGGCCTTACATCAGATTCTGCACAAAAATTGACACAGAAGCTGACATGTGGCTGATATCCAGATAGTAAGTCTTAGCCCTGTCCTGCCTTCCATTGACCTAAGATCTACTATAGTGGGGAAATAAATACAGTCCTTTGAAGAGCACCCTACCATGGTAAGTGGTTGTAGGCATGCAGAGGACATATCATTTCTAATTACTTTAAAATTTTTAAATAGATATACAAAGGAGATGCCGTTTATCAAAGCAGTTTATGAATATATCTTGATTAATGTCACCCCTCTCAATGTTTTTACCCATCCCTCCCCTACCAACCCTTTCCTTCATTCTTCTTAATTTTGTAGGATATACACTGGGTTCTTGATTGCATTCTCTCCCTCTTCTCCTCTTTATTCATCTGGCCTTTCCTCTCGACTCCACCCTATTCCTTTTATGGACCCATTTCCTGATACTTTGATTATCTTACCTTTCATAAATGTTCAGTAAAGGTGATTCTTCATTCCCCTGGAAAAGAAACTTTGCATTTCTAAGTCCCTGATTTCTCAGATCTCCAGCGTGAGACTCCCAGATCTTATCCTTATGAAACGATCTTAAATGATGACTAGTGATCAGAAGACGTGATCTTCCTGACATGATCATGGACACAGTAGTAGCCTTTTATTACAGGGAGTCCAAGATGGCCCGGGCCCTCCCTCCCTTCACTTCACATACACACATGGATCACATTCCTAAATCCTACCATGTCATAGAAGAAATTGGTGAACCAGTATGTCCTGTAACCAAGTCCACTTATGTGCTGCAACCTTTTGGCTCCGGTCACCCTGTCCCTCACCACAGAACTGCCAAATGAAGCAGACAAGATAGAGAATCCCAGCACAATGCAGAGGGCAACTCCACACTGACGGATGCTCTCCAGGCTGTGAGCAAAACAGAACAGTGGATCAGGTGTCAAGGAAGAACTCAGATCTTCTTTCTGTTACTAACAATTGAGGGTGGAATATGGGATAAGTGTGTGTATTTTTTTTCATGACTCTCCTCAACTGCCTTTGGACACACTGTTGTTCAGAGTGTACAGGAGATATAACTAAAGAGCTAGATACTGATGGGCATTTCCATGTCTTCCACTTCAAAATCTGTTCTTTGCACTGAGCCTAACTCCTAGTTAAAATGAAGGACATCTCCCAAATGATATCTTTGAACGACCATGGCTCTATCTGTGTTGGGATAAATTTTTTATTCAGTAAAACATGCTAGGTAGAAATGTACATTGCAATATCACACCTCACTAGTCTATCTCCAATCCCAGCCATCAAAATACTAAAAAGAGTTTGTACATGATCGAGATGTTACTATAATAACGTACATTCACTCCCTCAGATGTATTTTTAACTGCAGAATGTCAGGTGATCCATTGCTCACAGTGCCCTCTTCCCATTTCTGATAACCGTGAGGCACAGAGGTCTGACAGGATGAATAGTCTCATCACAGAGCATCTATTGGATCATGCCTTTGTTTCCATCATGCATTGTTTTATACTGTAGCTTGTACCAAGGCAATGAGAGTTAACACCTAATTCCATATCCATTTCCAACACCTTAGTCTATCTGGGCCTTGAGCAAGTATTGAGTTAGGATTTCCAAGGAGGCCCTGCTATGTGCTACAAACCTGGTATTCACCCAGAATATTGTCATGGACACTGCGCAGTCCCATTGAACTCATCCTCCAGTGACAAATTCTAGTTAGAAGTACAGGACCTGATGTCCTCATCCATTTTGAAAGTCAATGTGTTTCCCACCCCCTTTTTCTTATGTGCTGGTCCGGGAGCTGAAATCATGGCCTGAGCACCCTCCCTGAGCTTTGGTGCTCATAGCCAGCACTCCTCTTCCAGCTTTTTTCTCATTAATTGGGGATACAGGTCTCACCAACTTCCCTGCCCAGGCTGTCTTCAAACCTCCATCCGCAGGTCTGAGCCTCCTGAGTAGCTAGGATTACACGTATGAGAGGCTGGTGCGGAGCTGTGTTTTCCTGTTGAACAATCATTGTTTCTCCACCTTGCACAGAAATGCCAAAGTTCTGTGTCACTAGCTACCTATTGCAATGTTTCTCCTGACAAATGACAAAGAGGGATCAAAATCACCCCTGTAGGACTCAAAGATAGTCTTCCATGTTGAGGGGTCCTGCCCAGCATTCCTTCAACTCACATCTTGTCTTCATTCAGCAAGGTCCCTCCATACGGGTGGCTATAGAGTGTTATGCCTGTGAACATGAACAACAATTACAACATGAATCTTGAGCTGTCTCTTGCCTGATGAGTCACAGCCCTCCTCCAAGCCTTTCAATTCACTAGGCATGAGATATCTCTTGTTGCTATTCATGAGTCCATTAGTAATAACAAAAGGAAATTCCACCTTGCCATACAGCTAGGCTGAGACTTTTGCTATTATTACTGTGGTCAAACATAGACAGCAGGCATTTTGCATGCACTATGTGGCAAACGTTTTACCATGCTTTATTATCAATTGTTACATGTATCTCAGTGCTCTGAGTAAAACATCAGTCATAGTCTACCATGAGTAAACAGATGAAGGCTAAATAACAATATCATTTCCTAGACACAAGGTCAACATTGCATTCACCTCCAGATTATGCCAGGCTTAGTCCAAGAAAACAGGACTGTTTCCGTGGGCCATTTTTGGCTATGGAGTTGTTTTGCTTTGCTTTGTTTACTTCATTGGGCTTGTACATTAGTGTAACACCAGCAGCCAATATGAAGAAGTTGCCAATGAGTTATCAACTAAATGGATTTCATTATGAAAGCAACACACAGTATCGCAGCATGTCTCTTCCTACAGCAAATCGCAGTCCTTAATGTATGAAAAACTCCTTAACTTCAAGAAAATGATTTGTGTTTTATCTTCAAGACACTGTGCTGTGAGAGTAATTAAGTTTCTTTTTTCTAAAAAGGTTTTTTTTTCAAATATATGGAGATAAATGTGGAGCTTGTATATAGAGGACAATGCAATAGCACAAAACACTTGCATCATTTCATGTTGACATATTTTTCTTTTCCTTTTGATTCACTTCAAATTCATCCTATCATCTGTATTTTGCATTCCCTTATAAGGGCACATTAAATATTTACTGAGCCACCACAGGATAGAAATAAATAAAAATAAACTAAAAGTACAGTTCTAAAACAGAGCACAGAACTCCAAACCCTAACCATTTTTCCTAAATGTCTTGACTTCTCTCCATTTTCCTCTCTAACTATATCAACTTTTTCTTAAATTTCCTTCTATCCTGAGCTCAGCCATACAGCAATGCAAGCTCTGGATCATTGCAGAAAGAACCATGAGAACTCTTTGATCAGCAAGTCTCTTGTACAGTTTTCCAAAACATTTTCTTTGTCTAGATATTTTTACTTTTAAAAGATTCTAAAGGAATTCATATTTTTAATTTAATGGTATTGTCAAGGTGATGCACAGAAGGGTTATAGTTATATACATAAGATAGTGAGTACATTTCTTGAGGAACTTGTTACTCTCTCCCTCATATTTCTCCCACTTTCCCTCCCAACCCCTCCCCCATACAAAGCTGTACGGTTCATTTCCAACATACTGTCTTGTGAGTATCCTGTTGCATTGGTTCGCCCTTTGACCTTTGTCTCACCATTTTGTTGTTCCCCTTCCCTTCCTTAATTCAGATAAACATATGGGAATGTGGCTCAGTGGTAGAGTGCTTGCCTAGCATGCATGAAGCCCCAGGTTTGATTCCTCAGTAGCACAGAAAAAGCTGGCAGTGGCACTGTGGCTCAAGTGGTAGAATGCCAGCCTTGAACCAAAAAAAAAGCTCAGGGACAGTACCCAGGCCCTGTGTTCAAGCCCCAGGGCTGGAAAACAAAAACAAAAACTGATATTGTCTAGATATTCAGTGGTCAGCTCTCTGCATGGCATGTGGGTCTAATGACTCCTGTGTGGTTTCTTAGATCCTGGATTTGACTTACAGCTTCCTTATGAATTAAAGTACATGGAGTTGACACTGCCTGTCTGCACCAACAAGACGTCTCCTGAACTTCTTTCATCGCATCTGATAGCAACTACTCTTCCTGTCTACAGTGTCAGGCAGCCAGTGACTCACTGGATGGGATGTCTCAGATCGACCAATCACACCATGTGACCTGACCTTAGACAGCACTTGCAAAGTATGAGTTCCTTTGATGCATGGCAGGTGCCGCTTGCAGGTTGGTGGAAATACATTTACACAGATTCTATCTGTGAAAAGAAACATCCTTTTTTTTTTTGTGTGTGTGTTGTGGGGCTTGAACTCTGGGTCTGGGCACTGTCCCTGTGCTCTTCAGCTCAAAGCAAGCACTCTACCACTTGAGCCAGAGCACCACTTCTCATTTTCTGGTGGTTAATGGGAGATAAAAGTCTCACAGACTTTCCTGCCCGAGCTGGCTTTGAACCGTGATCCTTAGATCTCAGCCTCCTGAGTAGCTAGGATTACAGGCATGAGCCCCCAGTGCCCAGCTAAAAGAAACATTCTTGATTAGAGAAAAACCCAAAATGTAGGGTTAGCTAAGTGAAGGCCTGGAAATTATATAAATTTAAGAACGAAGGAGGCTATTGAAATTGTTAACCCTGAACACACAAACACACACACACACTAAAACATATGACTAGCAGATTTAAACTTGGGGTCAGTTGAACTTCTCAGAAGCAATGAGAGCTGGCTATGGAATTCAGCCACCTAACCAAAGGCTAATTTAATCATAATGAAACCACAGTAAACCTCTGGAAACAGACTCCTGGGAGCATGTGGTTGGTAAATAGCTGTAGGTCCTAGTTCTCTGAGTAGAGGGAATAGAAGCTGGCCTCTGCTCATACTAGACATTATTTATGCTCTCTATTTAACTGGCCATCCTAAATTGTATCTTTAAGATGCAAGTGTAACAGTAAGCATAGTGCCTTTCTGAACTCTGACTTATTGTATCAAATCTTCAAACCTGATGAGATCACAGGAACTGTGAACTTTATAGCTAGTCAGCTATAAAGATGGCACCAGGACTCTCAAAATGGAGCAGAACGAAGGGCCCTCCTATCTGAGACCATGCCCTTCGGTCTTAACAGGCATAAGTGTGTAAACCATTGGTTATATGTGAGTTCCATATCTAGCCCTCTGTCTTCCCAGAGGTTAGATGCCTCAAAATTTCTTTCTAATGTTAAAAACATATGCTTTATGATATTCCTTGACCCTGCCTCCTTGGGCCAAGTTCTCCTGTCAAAGCATTATTGGCTTGAGATAGTGGGGCCAGTGTTAACTCCAAATGATCAGTGGTAGCACGAAATGGCAGTAAAGCCAACTAGGGATGAGACAGAGCATACTCCACTACTAGATGCTTCTTAAGTAGCAGAAATCTGGGCATGGCTTGAAGCCTTTTCCTGGGCTGTCTGTGCCCCTTCCCAATTCTTTGATCCCTTTTGTCTAGCCTCCTTTGATGATCATTTCCTTCCCATACCCCTAACACATGGCAGGTTCAGGAAATCCTCCCACCCCACAAAAATCAAAAAACACCTCAGGCTAGGATTCTCTCCTCTCTCAGCTTCCTCACTGATCATCCTCATCATCCTTCCAATTAGCCAGACCCCTAAACCAAGGCTCTCTCATGTCTCCTACTGTTCTTCACCCCCACATGCTCAAGAACTTCCCAAGTCCTGTCATTTCCTCCAGAGCCTCACTGTGTTTTTGTGTGTCAGCCTCCTGCCGAACAGCCCTAACACACTGCCTCTCAGCCTGCCCACTGCCCTCCTCACCCTCAATAGCCTAGATAGCTCCTAAAAGGAAGTAGATATTAAAACAGAGCATTCATAGTCATTGTCTCGACACAGATGCTCTTCAAAATAAAGTCCCAAACTCTCCCTTTATTCTCTTATTTCACCTGTCTGATTTGGAAAATTGAATTTCTACCCTTTTCCTTAACCCATAACCACAGACATATTTCACCTCTTTCTTATAGTTCTTTGTCCATCCCCCAGAGACTTCTTACTCCCATTGCATGTCAATTTGATGAATTAAATTTCCTTTCCTTGAAATTATTATTGCTCTGACCTGCTTTAGTGAGACATAGCTGACGAATTAAAAATGTGTGAAGACTGCCCCTGACTTAAAATGGTTTGAATTATGATTTTCAAGCTTATGACAGTCCCAAAAACACACACACTGTAGAATTCAAACCTCCTATTTGAATTTCAATCTTTTCCAAGTCTACTAATACACATTACTGTACTCCCATGATGCCGGGCAGAATATTGAACTGCCGCTCCCAGACAGCCATGTAATCAATTTTCCATAGAGCACCACACTGCAAAGCTGAGCAGGGAAGCTGTGTCCCATGCATTGCCCTCTTCAAAGACTTTTACCCTGCAAAGAGTTCACCAGCACAGCAACTCATCATTAAAAATCAAGGGTTAGGAGCTGGGAAGGTGGCTCAGTGGTAGAGTGCTTGCCTTGCATGCATGAGGCCCTGAGTTCGATTCCTCAGCACCACATAAGCAAAAAAAAAAAAGCCGGAAGTGGCGCTGTGGCTCAAGTGGTAGAGCACTAGCCTTGAGCTGAAGAGCTGAGGGACAGCGCCCAGGCCCAGAGTTTGGCCCCACAACCGGACCCAAAAAATAAAAAAAATTAAAAAAAATTAAAATATCAAGGGGTATATGTATTATGAAATGATTATCACACATGAGCTCATTATTATGCTCATTCTCCCTTATATACTGTGAGAACATAAATTAATACAGCCATATGAAGACATTATGAACAACAGTACAGAAGTACTTCAAAACATTATAAATGGAACTATTATATGATCTGTCAATCCCACCAAAAGAAGGATGGAATCATATTCTAAGGTAACAAAATCATTTCTTGAACAAGTATGTACTAATCTCACATGCATATAGATAAATATATAGATAGATTTTATATATATATACTTATGCATAAGTATATATATACTTACATATATACTTATAAATATTTACTAATATATACTTATATACTTACATACATATATAAGTAAATATATAAGTAAATATTTTAAGTATATATATATATACACCTATACTTACATAAGTTTATATAAATCTGCCTACAGTTGTGTATATATACTTATGTACTTATATATACTTATATATAAAATTTATAAAATTATATAAATATTTATAAGTTTATATACTTATACAGACTTATTTATATGCATA